AACTTAGAATTATAGGAACTAAGCAAAAGAAGTAAGTAAATTGGGCATGTATATGTATGAAATTATGAGCTTAACATTAGGCCATGGCACTTGGACTGTGACCATCTTATCAACAAAATCAAACTTCACTTCCTCCCCATCAATCTTACAAGCACTTGGCTTTTCAGAAGCGAACACTCTCATCTCCCCACAACCCTTCACTCCAATTCTCACCAAATTTGAGGAGTTTTCTTCATCCTCAAATTCCAGCGACTGAATTGCACCACCAGTGTTGAACATGTTCACCAACCCAATTGGAGCAAATTGGATCAACTTCTTTGGCAAAACCCTCACTGGAGAAACAGTGAGGAGCTCAAAATCGAAAGGCTGAAGCGAAATCTCTACCTTCTCTGAAAGCTTCAAGAGCTTCAGCTTCTTTTGCTGGTGCATGTACACAGCAAATATGTCCATTCCTTTGATTGAAATTGGGGTCTTCCCATTGTTCCACTCTACATCTTTTGGGCCAGACAAGCAGGTCAAAGGCTTTGAGCACTCAGGGGCACTTTTGTTGCACCTGGATTTGGGGCACCATCCTCCTCCTTCGCAATTAAACAATCCCAATGCTCCAGTGTACTGGCACAAAATCATACAAAAACATTGAATTAGCACTATAACCCAAAAGGGTATCTTACTTTTACTCTAGCATTTCTTAGTCTTACTTTGTTTAGGTTCCAAATTTTGAGCATGGTTTTCCCATCATGCACAGGGTCTTCAAAGAGGCAATCCGTAGTAGGAAGAGCATAGTGCTGGCATCGCAATACCGAGCCATCTTGCAACACAAGGCTCTTAAGAAGCTTGAAGTTGTGCTTCCCAACAGAGTCACTGATGTAGATTGGGCCTCCGGATATAGCTCTTGATGCAGCGTGGAATTCAGCACATGGGTGTGTTGATTGAAACATGTCCCAATCTGGGTGTATGATGTTGCCCATCCACAAGCTGTTGTAGGCACAATGCACTGCGTGACACCCTTGCAGCCAATATGTCCCATCTGCTACCCCCGTGGTCTCGGACCAAAAATCATCCCCTACATAAATGTGAATAAATTAATACTCGTGTGGATTACTAATGCTAGCATGTAATTTAGTAAGAGACGTACCAACGCGTCCAAGTGATATGGCTTCTGTTCCAAGGTACATGAAGTCATTGCAGTGCTGCATGCTGGCAATTACTCCGTTGCCATTGAAATGCTTCTTCATGGAATCAGTCAGTGCCTTGTAATAAGCTTTAGCCAGCTCAACTCGACCACCAAACTCCTCGGATAGCATCTCAAGCAACTGCAACGAACCATGGCATGAAAATGTTTCATGAGGGTGCATGAAGTAAGTTCTAGAGTGCACATAACAATACTTTTAATTAATTAATAATTTCCAAAATCATATTATTAATAAAATAAAAACCCATAAAGTTGTAGGTGCACATGTGTCCAAACTGGTACCATTACTATGTAAGCAAAAACAATACTGTATGTGACATTTTTTTCCAATTAAAGAAAAAGAAATAGATAAAGGAAAAAGCTAGAGCTTTCGAGAATAAACTCACATGTATGACATCAACTTTGACACCGTCAATCCCCACCGATTGAAGATGAGAGTGGAGCCCCTCATACAACTTGTGGGCCACCTCCGGCAAAACCAACCCAACTCCGTTGTTCACAATCTTGTCCACCACCAAGTCCTCCATTGTTCTCTCCAATCCCGGTGACAACTTGGGCTTAATCACCCTGCACTCAGGAAACTCCGGATTATTAGTCCCAGGTCTAATCCCACCCCAATACCCACAAAGCGCATGCCACACGTACACATTCTCTACACTCCCAAACTCCTCTTTCAAGTCTTTGATAAACGCACCCATGCCCTTACTACACACACCCACCTCACCCTTCTTCTTACCCTCATAGCTTCTGAATTTGAAATTCTCTTTAAAATCAATCAGCCTGCATGGCATTTGCTCACCAGCTGATGTCCTGGTCATGCCTTCTTGGCCGACTGGATCATCGTCGTGGCAAATCGACTGCCACCCGTCATCGATTAGGACGAGCCCTGGAGGGCACCCACCCTCCACCAGGCCCTTCACCCCTTCCCAGACCCCTCTAGGGTGCACCATTAGATAAAATGCATCCCATGTACACCATCCAAACTTGTCCACTATTTTTGGTACATTTTTTTCCTCTAGGAGTTTGAATGTGCCCAAATGGACCCTCACCACCTTCATGGCCTCTTTGACCAAACCATATGGGTCATCGCCAACATGCATGTACAAGCAGGATCTGAAGCTGGAGGCGCTGACACGTGTCGACCCACTCTCCACACACATGTCCACGTAGTAGTCGTTGTTGTGAGAGCCAGGTTGGAGTGAGGCTCTGAAGGGTCCTTCGAGGAGCGGAAGGATCAAGACATAAGGGCGCCCCAAGTCGTTTTTGTCTAGAAGTATCATCTGAGTTTCGTTCTCCACGTCGTTTCCGCTAGTTCCAACCCAGTGGGTGGTCCACCAGACCTTGAACCTGAAAATGCTCGTGAACCTGATGCCTCTGAGTTTCCCGACGGGGACCACGTGGTGACTTTTGGGCTCATCGACGTCGAAGCCCACGAAGCAGCCGGAGGACGTGGTCTTGTTCATGTTACTGTTGGTCTTAGTGTTGTCTGAAGAGATGTTGGTGAAAGGTGATGGTGGGGTGGCGGCTATGATGTTTAGAGGGACTTCAGTGAGGAAAGGGTGGCCACGAGCAAGAAAGCTTGTTCCATGCAGAGTTATTGGGAGTGGTGAAGTGTCGTCCACAAGGTCTATTAGGTCTAGGGCATTCTTGGTTAGGCTTGGAGGAGCCATGGAGAGCTAGCTAGCAATTAAGGTTAGGGAGATGAAGGGAGAGAGAAAGTGAGTGAGTGGTGGCTTGGTTTGGTGATTACGGGGAAGAGGAGAGAGGGGTTTATATAGAGATTTATAAAGAGGTTTGGAGCAATGTGACGTGAAACAAAGTGAGTATTAGGATCAAAATATCCAAGCAATCGACAAGTTATGCGTTTTGTGTTGTGAAAGTGAAACAAAGTGAGTGTTGTGGCGGGAGTCATGGATGTAATGGCTTTTACCAAGTTCTACATTTGCTAAAGTATACAAGTTAGAATCTGTAACCAAAGTTAAAACAAGTACTAGTACTATATATAGTGGATATTATTATTATGGGAACTATTTTTGTCAAAGTAGGGTTGGTTAGTGTAAAGTAAAGTAATTTAACAATGAGTCTATAGCTACAATCTCTACTTTAGCAGAAGAGAAGACTGGTAAATCTTTTTCTTTTTTTCTTTTTTGAATAGCATTTTCTTGATCTCTCCTTGCTTTTCTAGATGTTTCATTTCTCTTGTTCAGTTGTTGAGCTTCTTTACTCCTCCATCTTTTCAATCTGATTCCTCCATAATAAAATTCTAGGGACCGCGAGATTTCCTCCTACCATAAAAACTTATGGGAAACGGAAACAGAAATAACATTGTTTTACTATTTCAATCAAATATTACATTATGTTAAAGGAAAAGTTATTATACTATGCTCTTATCCCATAAAAACTTATGTGAAATAAATATAGCCCTATTTTGCTATAAAAACTTATGTAAAATAGAGATAGCCATGTTTTGCGTTATGTCAAATAAAAAAAATTGAGTTATTACGCCTCACATAGCATAATTGGGTGGAATATCAAAATAATGTTACCTCAATTTGCACATAGTTTTTCCTTCTACCCACATTAATGACATTTTGTTTCGTTTTCTAGTTTTTTGTTTTTTTTTGTTTTTTAAATTCGATATAACGAAATCCACGCCCAGACAAGTCCATTTGTTTAGAAAAGAACAAATAAAAAAACACGCCCATGACATTATTCCAAGCTTGGATGGAAGACAGGTGTAACAAAAACATTGCTTACAAGTTCCCGACGGGTCCATGTATCCACCTGCGAGCTAAAGGACCCCACAAACAGACACCTCAGCCTCTAGTTCCCCCACGTGGCACTCTAACGCCATGACACATCAGCACTGCATGAGCCACCAAATCTGTTAGGCCACAGTGTTTCTACCGAGTGCCCACTTACCCTCTAAAGACGACCCCGTTTCGTTGCTTACCGAGTGCCTTGCCAAAGGTATTGGTATTGTTGGAAACAAAATCTACTGCTATATTATCGAATAATATTTCGTGAAATTTCCAAACGTGAGTTAAAATAAGAGGGTTTCACTAAAACACCCAAAATGAGGGCTGAAATTATAAAAAAACCCAACAACCAAAACACTTTATAAACACACCCAAAACCCATCATTACACACACTCAAAATCCATTTATAAACACACCCCAAAAATATACAATTGTTGATTTTGGGTGTGTTTCTATGTTTAAATAGTGTGTGGGTTTTTTTATAAATACATGTCTAGGATTGGGTTTATTTATAATAATCTATTAAAGTAATTGATCAAGGAAGTTAAGTCATCTTCTTGCATTAAAGTTCGAGTCATTTTAAATTCAATTGCTCGTATTTATAAGTATTTCATGATTTAAAATTTGGTTGCATATAGGGTTTAAGGTTAGAGTAGATGTGCTCCATATTCTACATTCTAGTTCGAATCCCCATTTCAATAGAATTTAGATTAAATTAAAGTTAAAATATCACTTATATTACAAATATATAGGTTGCATACAAAAGTCTCCTCAACTATTCATGCAGTATTGGATGGCCCGATTCAGAGCAATCCTGTTAGTTTAACGAGCTTAAGGATGGCCCAATAGTGTTACAGATGGGCTCACCTATACAGGGGCACAAAATAAAGCCCAATTCCATATTCATACCCGCTTTACGCAGGCGGTCCCTGAATTGAATCTCTGTTCTGGCTAGCAAACCGTCGTGGAAGTGTCTTTGACAATCTCCAATTTCCCGTTACTGCGTCTCTGCTGATCATGCACGTATAGAGCTAACCAAATGGAGGGTCCGAGTCCTTGTGCCACAGAACCCGGCTCCCAAGACTCCCACAACGCCTTTGTTTGGGACGAAAGCTCTCAGCTTTATTTCCATGCCGGTAGCGGATTTTACCATGACCCGACCGCTGGTTGGTACTATAGCACTCGGGACGGTCTTTACTACAAATTCGAAGATGGAAACTACGTGCTTCTTCCCTCTCACCAGGTTTCTCTTTCATTCTCTTCACTCTTTGTGTCTTCGGCTGATTAAATTTGAAATCGTTGTTGTTGGTGGTATTTTGAAATTTATGTTTCTTCTATCTCTTTGATATTAGGTGGAGTGATTTCTGGTTTGGTTGGAAATATTATTTTCAGGCTGATAATTTGGAAACATGTGAAACCCAAGTGACTGCTTCTGAGAATCCCATTCAAAGAGAGCTTTTTGCACATGAAAGTGAATGCATAGAAACTGTTCCTCAGGAACCCATTGGAATTTCAGGTGTGACATTGCAATTCCTATTGCTTTTGTGTGTACATATAATTGCAATTTGCAACTCAATGTGTATTGAAATTTGTATATGAATTATGACGCACACTTTCATTTCAAGTCTTCTGCACATTTTCCTCATCTTCTGGATTGAAACAACAAAATTGATTTTACTAGTATTGGAGCATTGATATTCCAAAGTCTTAGACTTGTATTGTTTTACTTTAGTTCAAAGTAGTGAACTAGTTCTTTTGTAAACAGGCACCACAGAGTGCTGCAGTAGCAGTGATGTACCTGAAAATCCCCCTCCCACCTCAGAATGGTATCCTGGTTCTTGCATTGCTTTCCTTATTAATTTGATTGTTTGGTTAAATATTTTCCTAACTCTTTTTTTTTTTCAATACCTCTTTCTAGGTTAGAAGATACGCTTATTGATCTTTATTTGTCTGGTTATTCCAACTTAGAAGCCAATGCTGCTGATGATATGACAGTCTTTCCCGAAACAGATGTTGAGTTTGGATCCAATGGTTTGTTCTGAATTCTCATATGTGTTTCTAGATAGATGATTGATGTGGTTGGAGCAGGATTTAAATGGGTTTGTTTGGTGGAGTTGCAGGGAATAGAGATAGTCACGAGCTCAATGAAGGCGAATTGATTCTGGATGACCATGATGCTGCAATTAAATCAAGTGAAAATGTTTCTGATGAAGGTTTGCTACTGTGTTTGCTTCTCGTTCTTGAGGCTAGATATCAACTTTAGTTTTAATGAGTAGCATGTATTTAATCTGTAGGATTTTTGGTCTGTCTACCTGACTCTGCTGTATAAAATATATGTAATTGATCATTGTGGCCCATCAATAGCAGAGATATTGAAACATAGAAGCATATTTGGCGCAGGTGCTTCATTGGATGAAGAGAACTGGCGAGCTCAATATGGTCAGGTCATTCAATCTGAAGAAGTTTCAATCCCGGAGTCCTCACTTGTAAGTTTATGGGACTGGGAAATTCTCACAAAGCCCAAAAAGGATGGAAAAGGTGAGGTAGCGAGGCTTGTCGGGAGATTAGTGAGGCGGTCTGCTAAGCTTCATCCATCTATGCCTTCTGGTGGTGGTCTTCTAAAAACTGCTCCAATATGTGAAGTACATCTTGATCTGGTACGAGTTATAACAGGTTTGCATTTGCCTCTACCATTTGGCAACATTTTTTACTTTTAAAAATAAAATAAAAAACCTTGAAGACATAAGACCTACTTGTGTTTTGTGTGTTTGTATTATGTTCTGCCTGAAAGCATGTTGTTTTAGTTAACAACAGCAAAATTTGATGGTTACCTGTGACTTATTTTTGGTATTCTTTCAGGACAAGTCTATAAGTTGCAGAGCCCCAGTATACGATACTTATCTTCCTTGTCAACTTATGATTCTTCCAACCCAACCAAAGATTGGGGCTTCCCTGAATTATCAGTCAACACACAAATTCAGGCCCTCTCTAAATCCAGTGCAAACAGTGAATCAATAACTGCAGATGGAGTGGCAGTTAGCAAGGATTCATCTTTGTTGCCAGGCCAAATATATGAAAAGGTAACTTGGGCATGTTCTATTGTTGAAACTGTACTTATGTTAAGTTCAATTGATAAATAGTCCAAGTAAAGCTTTGAAGTTTTACCTGGGACACAAGCAATGCTACATAAGAAGTACCCTTTCAACGTCCAAGGGAGATGGTTTCAGTCATGAATGCCCTGCTAACGATTGATAACCTCATGCTATCAGACTATGTTTTATATTTATGTGTCAAATATATTAGACCTGTACCTGAATATGCCAAACTATTATAAGTTTTTGTTGAGTGGCATAATCTATTATCTACTTATACTCTTCTATATGCACGTGCAGCATGGTATGGTGCACCACTTACAGTTCTATTGCAGCCCTTTTTAGTTTTATTCCGTTATAAGATGTTGAGGAGTATATGCATTTCTATCCAAATCTGCATTTCCCTGATACTCTGTCTCCTGTTAATTTGCCAGCATGAAAGCTATACATATAGGGATAGAGCTGCTGATAGAAGAGCCTTGCACGGTGGTTTCGGTGTGGGTCCAGGACAAAAGAATTCACTAATTGGTGATAGTGATTCGCCGCCAGGCTCTACAGAAGAAGCTGCAGCAGAGGCCTTGAACATGTCATTTGGAGTTGGTAGTTATGCCAGAAAACTTTTAGAAAACATGGGCTGGAAGGAGGTAATTTTAATTTGTTAATACTATTCTAGAGCAGCCCATTAAATCCGGTTAGATGTAAACTGATACAGCAGATGTTTACCTGTTTAAAACTTATATCAGGCAAATATCTCCTGGCTCAAATTATGTCCTTTTTTTCTCATTTATTTATTTACTTTTGTGGACATTGCAAATTTGGAGCCCTGCTCACCTTTTATTCCTTCGATTTGTATGTGTGCAGGGAGAGGCACTTGGCAAAAGTACAAGGGGATTAGTTGAACCTATTCAAGCACACAGCAACATTGGTAATGCTGGATTAGGGTGGCCTCATGGAAGATTTAAGCATCCCTGAATTAGAGTGGTCTCAGGGAAGACTTAAACATTGATAATGCTGCGTGTACATACATACGGTAGAACTAAAGCATGATGATTTGAGCATGTGGATTTTGTGCATAACATGGCTCTCAACCTTTCAAGATTTTGTGCAAACAGCATTCTGTATATTCATTATAAAACGAGAACCATTCAGTTTTGTAAGAATGAATGACATGAAATGAAACCATGCAACTGCCACACCCATGATGGGGTTTATAGCTATGATAAATTTGGGGTAACGGACAGCCCCAAGCATTAGAAACTTTAACCTCAACTCCAGCTACTCAGTTTCGAAATTTAATTTTTCCCGAACAGAAATGTTCTGACCAAAAAGAAAAATCAAATCAAATGTTGAATGTACATACAAAAAATGATTATATCCTACAAATTTCTCTTTTTCTTCTTTTAGGTGTTGACTTCCTCAGACTCAATCACTTCGTCGCTGACTTTCCTACTATCAGAAGATGGCTCTGCTTTCTCCTCCTCTATTAAGCTCTTCTGCTCCAGCTCCTGCTTTAACCGTTTGATCTCACAATCTCTCTCATCTAGCTGCTCTTGCATGACACGCACCTGCAGTTGAAGATGCTTTAAATTCTGATTCTCATTCAAATGGTCTACTAACTGTGCAATAGATAAATTAGACAGCAGCATATCCTGAGCAATATTTTGAAACAAAGCAAAAGAAAAAACATTGAATTGTACATCTTTGAAACTATGATGAAGTATCTGTAAACTAATAAATAACAAAAGTTGAGGGAAGGGAAGAATACCATTTCATTTGATCTTTCAACGTCATTTGTGAGCCCCTCCATATGTTTGTGCAATCCTATATGTAGAAACACAAAATATATTTATACAATGCCAAATAATATTGCGCAAGGGCAGTAGAAGTACCATCTAGCATATACATTCTACTAATCTGAGAGATATCTAAAATTTCACTTGATTTATCACTGACCTTCAAATTGACTTCTCAGTTCTGCATTTTGGGATTTTTGCAAAGCAAGTTTCATAGATAATTCATGCATCTGCAGACCAACAAAAGCAAATCTTAGAACCCAGATCATCAGTGTATAACATAACCAAACAGACGAGAACCTCCTAGAGAATAAGAGTGCATACATTTGTTAGAAAACACAACGAGGACAGTTTATTTGTAAGCATGCACATATTAACGCATCAAAGATGTTTATGTTCGATTTAGTTCTAACAGCAACATACTTTTGTGCCAAAATCTGTATTATAATATCTTAAAAAAACACAAGATACAGAGGAGAAAATTATAGCTGAGGGTAAAATTAACACAAGATACTGAATGCATATAATAACATCTGAAATATTTTGGATGCAACAGCAGCACCTTTCCCTCAGAAGCTTCATTGCCTATCTCCTCATTTTCCTCTTGCAGGGTCCTACATTTAGCCATTAACTGCTTCCCCATCTTGCTTGTAGGAGTAAATTGAACAGCAGCAATGTTGTCATTCAACTCCTTCACCTTTTTCTCCTTCTCCTCAACCAAATTCTAACATCATGCACCACAGTAAAACGCAAAGATAAGTTATCTATAAATATAGAGAAAACGTGGAAAACTAAAATACTTCTAGTTTCACAAGTGCCTTCAAATTACTTTACATGACAAATATCAACTTGTCCTTAATTCATACAAACAGGTGCAGGCGATGTATTTCTTAATTTGTTTCCTTTTCAAGCTCTTTTGCTTTCTTCCTACATAATGAGACCCTTCCCTCTGTTTGCATTTCTCTGACTTGGCATATAATTTCTTTGTATACCCAGAAGAAGAAAGGGGATATTGGTATTATAAAATACAAATACACGTATTACACCCATAGAACTTAGTAAAACCTTTCAAAATAGAACTCTGAAGTTTTGAACACAAACCTTTAGACGAGTAAACTCTTCATGAATTGCTGGATCAAGTAACAATCTTCTTGCCTGCACAATTAATCAGCACAAGAATATGAAGATCAGGTTGAAATGATAATCATAAAGAGAATTTACAACCAAACCAAAAATTGGAAATTTTATCACCTGGTCCAAAATTTCAAAAACTCAATATAAAAAAATTGAAATTAACTCAAGCATATTTAAGCTACCTGCATTGATGGTGGCTTCAGTTGAGCTTTAAGATCCCGAACTGCAGACTGTACATTAAACAAGAAGTTGGGTATTCATGGTCACATAGAATTAATCTTCCTACTTAAAAAAGTGAATATGCTATAAAGCTATCATATTACATGAGAGAGGAAAATAATCTAACACATAGAAACTGAATTTACAAGGAATAGATGTGCAAAGGATATTACCTTGAGCTCTGCTATCTCCTGCTCCCGTTTTGCAAATGTGACAATAAACGCAGCTTCCTTTTTCTTTGCTTTCTCTAACTGTAAATAAGAACACACCATGAACAAAAAGAAGAAGATTTCTGATGACTTTGTGAAAAGAAACATTTAACACTAACCTGTTCTTTTAACGATTCCTCGGAGTTCTTCAGGGATTGAAGATAATTGATGACCAATTTAGGATCTACAAGGATAGGTTGAAATCAAGTTTTTAATGGACATGTAGTAGATGCATGTAAAATGATCAGAAGATAAGTTGATTCTCTAAGATGAACATATAATTTAACACATTCCATAATAAAACAAGGACAGGCCAAGCAGCAAAACACCCTAAAAGGCAAGTATGGGACTAACCAGGAGAAGTTCCGGGAGTTATGAAATGTTCATTCTGAAATGAAGAATGCCACTTTCGAATCTCAGATTTTGCAGCTTCAAGTTCCGTCTGCAACCAAGGAAAATAATCCAATAACAAACAGAGCATTTAACAATGCAGCCAAACTATATAACAAGTATGACTGTAGTGATTGCATCAGCAAATGCTATGAAATTCTTCAAGCTTGTGATGAAATTACGTTCATTTAATATTTAATATTTATCATTACAACTACAAGCGTCAAATATTTTACCTACTTGACCGAAAAATTATCACATAATTTATATTTCACTAACTGAAGAAATACAATGAAGACATATAGAGAAGGAAAAAAGTTGATTAACAAATACATACTTGGCATGTTGCAAGAGTATCTTTACAGTTTTGAAGACTGCAAAAAGAATTGCAATAAAAATATAAAAATCAGGCCCTAAAGAAAACTCAATGCATTATAATTTCCAGTGGTATAGAAGTTTGTTCAACTTTTGAGTTACCTCTCACGAAGAGACAAAATCATTCCTGTTGCAACACCAGGAGCAGTTTCTTCAACTTTTGAGTTACCCTACATTGTACACATATCATTAGATTTTCCTTAAATGGAACAAAAACTGAACAAAGGAGAGTATATACCACAGAAATCTCTTAAATAAGCAAGAATCTGCAGAAGGCAATGCATGCTTATCAGAGGAAACTTATTAGAAGTATCTGCCCTTTCGATAAGTAGAATATGAAACTTTTTGACATAATTTTTTGACCTTGGACAACAATTGCCACATCACTTCCCAAGTATAACTGTTCTGTTGAATTGCATTAACATACTTCAAAGTTAAAACTATGTTTTTTCTCACACTAAAATCTTATATATATACCTTTACAAAGTCATAACCTCTTTAACACAAATGGAACCTAATGTTTAACATACACATCAAATCCCCATACATAATTACTTTGGTTCTTCACCTAAACTATTCTCTCAAATTAACGCACTGCTCTACACCCATATTATTGAGAACGCAGGAAAAATATAATTTTGTCTTTACCATTGTTTCTTAAAGGTCCACCCTAAACAGTAAGGAAATAATAGATATACACATAGACACATTTACATATAATGGCTAAAGGTTCAACATTTCCGAAAAAGAATGCCAGGAATGAATGGGAAAATACCTGTTTTGAGCCAAAAAAATCGTCTTCTTCGTCCTCAAGATCCCCAAAGCTTCTCTTTTTACCTAAATTTCACAAAAAGGAAATCAATAAGCACAATTCAATCGCACATTGATTTGGTTGAAGGCAAACTGAAACATACCAGGCCGCCTGTTATTGTGAGCTCCAGGAAAATCGCCTCCAAAATCATCATCCTGTATTGAACAAAAACGCATTCCAATTACTCAAAAAAAAAAAAAAAAAAAAACAATTAACCCCTAAAATCGATAGAAACTGGGGTAGTAGCTAGGGCACTGTAGGCGTTACGTCATCGATACGAGTGTGGGTAGCCATGAAGCTTGAATTCTCAAAACCCTAGCACTTGATTTCTCAGTGAGTAAGCGAGAACAAAAACGAATAAACAAACTGTAGCCCGTAGCTGCGAAGCCGCGAAGCTGAAAGTACAACAATCTGTATTGTGTTGTTTTTTTTGTTTTTTTTATGGGGGTGGTTGGGGAAAGAGAGTACAATTGTTTGATGCAGTGAATCGGAAACGAAAAGGATTCAGTTGGGGGGAACAGTTGTTATCAGCTGTGTGCGGTTGTACAGTCTAGTCATAAATACAAGCCCACCGTCTCTTTTTTTTGGTCAAGATACAAGCCCACCTTATGACCACCTTACGATGGGATCAGCTTAATGGACAAATTTGGGGCCCTTTTTAAAATTCAGGTCAGCCCAGTTCCTCTCAAGAACCTGTTGAGCTTAAGGGATGAACCATCACAAGCCCTAGTCGTATTCCCAAGGGGGCAAGAATAAGGGATTATAATGAGGGGCTAATAATGGGTCATGTTGTGTCTGAATTGTGTCGTCTCAGGATCATATTCGTGTCAAGAATACTCAATTCAAAATCGACATGTTTAATAAATGTGTCTTGTTGGGTTGACTCGCTAATTTTTCATGCGGGTTTCAAGTTGTGTATCGGCTTAACTCACTAAGTGGTAGAAACTAGTAAGTAGTAACTAATCTTTCTCACTAGTAACTAGTGAGAAAGAGATGACTATTCAAAGAATTTTGATAAAATAGTGATTTCATTTTTTATTTTCTTGTATAAAATAGTGATTGCATTTTGCTTTTTTATATGTATGAAGATTGAGATAGAGATATTTTATTTTATTTTTTTTTTAAAAAGGAAAATGAAGAAGAAACAAAGAAACATGTTGGCGGGTTACATAGGTATTTTAGCGGATTAGCGAGTTGATCTAAAAATTTAATCATGCGGATTGAATCAGTAATTTTCTGTGCGAGTCGAGCCGTGTATCGGGTCGTATCGGAAATTGCCACCCCTAAACTTTATAATGAGGGGGTCCTTAATAGCCATCTGATTCAGTGCATAGCTATTATTGAAGTGTTGAATTGAACCCCTCATTGTAATCCCTCAACATAGCCCCTATTGTTGGGTTGACAACTCCTATAACTGTGTCATGTTCAAGTTGACCCATGTGTCAAGTGACCGCAAAATTCAACAATAAATTTATTTTATTTCTAAACCAAACCTCTTGCAAAATCATAAATAAATAATATCATAATCATACAATTACTCATATATAAAAAATTATAAGAAAATGAATTATAAATTTCATATAATACTTGTTAGTTAAATGCGTTTTTTGTGCTAAAATAGAGTTACTCATATTGAGACTAATAAAACACATTTATTATACATGTTAGCATGTCGTGTGATATTCATATTTAGTCGTGTTAAACATTGTGACCTCTAAAAAAGTATTGAACATATAAAATAAAGATTATATTCTTTCTCTTTTTATTTTGTCTAAGATTATATTCTCTTTAACTGATGTTTATCGAAGAAGCTATCACAAGATCAAACTCGAAAGCCAAAAAACTCTCATTATAAATAATGATTTGGCCGCTGAAAGTATGTCTAGAATTGCTTCATATGCTCCCATATATAGTATAATCCACTCACCAAGAATGGCAAACAAATGTATTATGCTGTCTTCGAATTCGGATTGGTCTCATTTCATAATGTCTCCTTTTCCACCACCCTAGTATTAACAACAAATTCATGTGATCAACCAGTGATCACACAAACCAAAAAAAACAAGGGTTTAGCTAATTTTTTATTAATGTTGGTGGGAAGGAGGTATGTCGATGTCTTCAATGAAACCTAGCTTAGCTATATATATTCTAAATCCCACGTCGTTTTGGTCATATAAGGTTCACAAAGATGGAAGATGAAGACAAACGACCTTTTCTCCAAATCTTGCATACAAGGGGTCCCATCCAATCCAAGGGACAAAATTAGAGTCTATATTAGTTAATTAATTCTTTAACATAGATGATAAATCAGTATTAATAATCTAATCTGTAGCTTATAATCTCTCTATCCCGTGATTGACTCTCTCCTTGTCAGGGTCCCACTAATTTGTCATCCAATTGTTGGATTGTGGGCACGTGGGGATAGCACTCATCATCAAGATGAAATACATACATACATATATAAGGTTCTTTTTTCAAGTAAACCTTTTTCTTAATCTTCATGGATGAGAAAAGGGTTGGCTGATATGATTGATTTGAGAAAAAAAATTTAAGGTTTGTCGGCTATGGGAATTTTCAGATTTTACAGAATGAAATCGATTCAGGTATGAAGTTTTTGTTGAGGGAGGGGGACATCTTTTTAACACTTGGGGCCCTTAGGTTTCCTTTGGGTCATTTCAATTTTTCTTCCCTCAAAGGGAAAGTGTGGTTCAAATAGTTTGAAGTCAATTATGGGTTGTTGAAATAATAATAAAAATCATTTTCTTTGGTTAGGTAGAAGATGTGATTAGCCTCTCATAGACTTCTTTTACATTAGTATTTGGTGGAGTTGGTGGTGGCCATTTATTTGCAATAGTCAAGGTAAATATTAGGTTATGAGTTATTAAACTCTAATTATGTTATTTTAATAGATTTTTTCATCTACTAAATCTAATTTTTCTATGTGAATGTGTTCCACCTTCTCTTAATGTATTTGTCACATGAATCACATTAATTAGTTAGTAGGCTACGTATCCTCTCCCAAAAGAAAGTAAATACATTTTTTCCATAATGTTGTGCTTAGAATATAATTAAAGGGGAAAAGAATGTCCAACTTCTCAAGCAACTAGAATCATTTGCAAAAATAAAAAGGAAATCTTTAATCTTATGCTTTAATGAGAAGATAGACGGTTAGTGATTGCATTGACCAAGAATTAGTGAAGATCATCAATATGTTTGTATGTTCATTATATTGAATTAATATAAATATAAAAGTCTAAGAAAAGAGAGGACAAAAATGAATTATATGTATGTAAGTATGCGATAAGTGTTCTACTAATGTAGCTATACATGTAAGCATCTCCAACAGTAACTAAAATTTTCAAATTGAAGTTTATTGACCTATTCAATTCAATTAATGCAATGTTGTGAAAAAAGTATATGTCGGTTTTGTTATTTCAAAGCAAAATTAAATGTGTTGAAGAGCCAATGTCAACTTGCCAGTTCTGATTCTGAAGAGAGAGATATGAGTTGCAGCTTTTGGTAACTGAGTTTGACAAGACTATTGGAGAGAGTTCCTATTTTAGCATTCCAAAACAGTTATATGGATTGTTGAAGATGCTCTACAAATATATACATGTATATATGTAATTCATATAATACATGTAAATGGCTGGAAAAGGCATATTATTCTGATAGGTCACGCCCACGACAAAACTACATGCAAAATAGTTGAAATCCAAAAAGCCCTTGTTCACTCATCCTTGTTTTACCTTTTGTATCCAACAAGCAGCTGCAATGCAAGCGTGTAAGCAAATATGTACAAAAACAAATGGCCTTTTTCAATATGCCCACATATCAAGCTCAACTTTAGTTTTGACACTTTTTAGCATCATCGCATCGCATGCCATGAAAATATATAAGAGGCCAATTAAAGTTAGGGCAAGATCGTGGAAAAATGGAAGTAATTTGGAGAAAAGTGAGGGAGAAGTGCTTCTTGTATCTGTGGCATGTCATGAGAGGTGTAGGCAAGTTGGGAAACACAATGGGACCCTTGTGCAGTAGCCAGTTCACACTCCATTGTTGATGGGTCAACTTCATTGCTCTCTTTTAGTCCTTCGAAGATCCAACACCACCCATCATTCATTTCTCAACACAAAAAGGATCAATGGGAGGAAGAAAAAAATGAAATTTCAGAAATGGCCATGGGGACAAAAAAGGGCGAAAGGAGAGACGTGAGGGACATATCGCACGCAACAAGGCATTTTTGTCTATGGCCCTGCAAGTCTACATGTAAATTTGTAAATTCTCTCTTAAGATTCAAACTCTCAAACTCAAAGATTGCATGTAATGTAATTATCATCTGCAAAACCCTCATTTCCTATGTGCACGTGTAGAGCCAAAAAACAACATAATTCACATCTTTTTTTTTTCCTTTAATTTATTAATTTGGTCAATGCAACATGATATGAATATACATGAACAGTTATTCTCTCATTCTGACGTCCGCACATTATTATTATACAGACGTCATTGTAAACAATGAAGGATAGTAAAAAATACATGACGTTTGCACGATAATAATGTTTGGACGTCCGTATAGGAGAATTTTTGTATGCATGGATATATGTCATAGAACATGGGTCATATAAGGCATATATGCTATGATGCAAGGAATCGATGCCATGTTTTGCCCATGCACAGTAACAACTCAGACTAGACTTGTAAAGGAAGATGGATGATAATTAATCTTAATTTCTACTTAAATATAGAGCAATCAAGCACCTAATCTAAGCACAAGTTGATCATTATTATTACTTTTTTCTTTCTTTGGCCGGCATTAGAGGACAGTAATTTCTCCTGAGATGATTGGCTAGGAAGAAATTATCTAATACGCAAAGAGATTAATGGTGGCCATATCCAGCCAATGTGGTCCAAGTTTTTAGAAGATAAAAAAGCTGTGGGCAACCATCAACCACCATTTTACTGTACATGAAAGAATATACTGTTCAAGTGACATATATATATATATATATATATGGTTTTCTTTTTGTGAATTGTGATGGATGATGATGATGATGATTAATTTCATATATATGATGGTAACTTTTAATTAATTAAGCAAATTAATCATGGCTGGAAATGACAAACTCACACATCAAACCTATCACAAAATATATGCATATGTAAGCCACTCATACAGACAGTAATAATTATGTGAAACAAAGACAAGAAAAAAAGTCATGGGTGCATTGCATTTTTTTCTCAATTGGGTTTCCTCTAAAGTAAATATGTACTCAAAATCACTTAACCCACCCAACTCTCAACTCAACCTAACCAATCATTTTCCTTGACTGGCATCAGAAAATTTCAAACATTTGTGTTTATTGGTCGAGAACGCGCTTCTTACAGTGGTCCGGAGACTAGCCTAAAATTACCCACGTCCTCTCTGCTGTATGTATGCAGCACTATAAATAAATGTGGTTTACACCAAAAAAAAGTCTCTCCTT